CTGAATATCACCTCTGGTACTCCCACTCAGTCTGACAGTGTTACCTTGCTGGAATTAAAACCTCTCACAAGGAATATAGTGACCATTTTATCTGCATTTAGTTTCAAGTTATTATTCCCCAGGGAGCCGTTTACCGATTTAAATTGGTCCCTAAATAATTTATCACTTCATCAATGGTTTTATAATTAACAACAGATGTGCCTGTAGGGCAGAAGGTGGGTAGGAAAGAAAGCAGCATTGGTCTGCAATTTTTGTATGCCTGACATTATACAAACACAAGGAAGCGACAGAACTGGTGGTGCCGGCAAATAACTCTGATTAAGAGGGATTATGCTATTAAAAGAAAATATACTACTTGTATTACTGGATTTTCTACTCTTTGATCCAGAACCTTTGAAAGGAAATAATGAGTAAACATGTAGTTGAGACAGCTGTAATATTTCTGCTTTGAACTAAAGTTTAGTTTCTAATATAAGATGTGATACAGCTCCCCCTTGTGTTTTTTATTGTATTCAGATTACTAGTCATTTTTGTTTTAAAAATGATGAACACTGAATTTTAGTATGGAAATAGAGAACATTTATTTATTCAGTCAAATTTTGTCTTATTGCTTACCACCTGTTTTTATTAACACATCCAATGTTCATTCAGTAAAGAATGTTCAAAGCCAACTAAAATATAGCATTATCAATACAATACCTTGAATATTCCCATTTTATGTCTTGAAGCATGATGATCAACAGGAATATCCAAGACGGCTTTGATCAAATACAGCTTAAAATAAGGAACTATTTTAGGGACTATTTTGTAATTTTGGAGTAATGGAGATAAACAGTTTTGAGTCCTCTATTGTAAAATTTAAAAAATAAAATAGTATCTTTTAAGTCTTTGATAGCTGATGATGAATTTTTATTGTTTGTATTTATTTTACTGTATTGTGTTGTTTTGAAGGTTATGGAAAGCTATGTACAGTATATAGCAACAGTAAAGGGGTATCTAGAGGAAGAAAGTCACATTTAGCTTGAGATAAACAAATAAATACTGTAATAAATAAAGCTACTATTCGTACTAATTTTCTTGATTACATTTATGTGTAGCAGGTGTTCCCATTTCTAAAGATACTAAAAGCAATGGACCATTATGCCTGGGGGAGGGGGGAGAGACAAGCATTGTTGATTTTTGCACAAGAAAAATGGAAATGGCTGTCAACAAAATATATAATGTTCTTATCGTTACAATATTGCTACCCTTTAGAAGGCATTATTTAAAAATATTTTTACTGATCCATACAGAAATGTAATATCCAGAATGTATTTTCAACACAGCTACTTCGACTTTGCAGTAAAAATGCATGTATATGGGAGAAAATAAGCAAGTACCAACTCAGAGTACATTCCAAAAAGAATCTGGCTGCCTTCTATAACTACAGTGAATTATCTCCAGCTGTCATGAGCTGTAATTTCTTAATTGTAAGTTTAATATGCATACTGTGTTTACAAACTTATTTGGGATCACATTTGGTGCTTATCTATTGCAGAATATATTCTGTATTATGAATAAAGGCAAATATTCTGTGTTTGCCCTAGAGGTTCTACATCTTATTAATAAAAATAATGGGAAAATCTCAGAAGAAATGGGATCCTGCTCATTAGAAATGATCAATTATCTTTTATTTCATAGCATCCCAGATAAGAGGCACTCTGCTGTACTTCTTTTCTAGTAGTTAAAGCACTGGGCCAGTAACTAGGACTGAGTTTTAATTTTGCCTTAAGCATGAAAGTCAACTGGGCGTTTGTGGGCCAGTCATTTTCTTAGGCATAGGAAGAAGGCAAACCAATTATTATTTTTGACAAGAAAGTGGCATGGATTAATCCAGTTAGTCACGAAGGATCAAAATGTACTTGATGGAAGGGGGAAAAAAGCAAACAAAATTTTTGTAAAACCTACTCAATTGTTTACTGAAGATGGTTTGGAAAAATGTAGATCAACATATCTAGAAGGCAACTCAATAGGAAAAGCTGCACTAATGCAATCTATTGTGTTTTAAGCTGCTTTTAAAGAAAGTTTAAAAAATATCTTTGGGCAGCAATAAAATATGCTAAGAGACTCATGCTCCCTGCATGATGGCTAGAGCAGAAAATCATAAAGCTCCCTTGAAAAAAAAATGAATTGTTAAAAGTTCTTTATTAATACTGTGCAGCATCTGTTTATTATCTTTAAGCAAAGGCTTCTGATAGTGTTAAATATGAATTGATATTCCTGCTTGGAAAAAAACCCCGAAACACAGATGGTTGTTACTTCCCAGAGACAATATGTTTACTCAACCTATTTCAAGCATAGTTTAATGTTTACTGTACCAACAAGTGCAATCATAATACTCTTTTGAATTGTATAGTTAATCATGAAATCAGAATAATTAAGGGATTGAAACCTAATTTGCTATTTAGAATAGTAAGTTCAGATTTGAATAAGTCTTTGAGTACAGATACAACTCCACTATTGGCACTATTGGCATTTCCGATTTACACTAGTAATTTTTTTTGTAATACAACATGTACAACTTTTATTGTGTTGCTTTTAAATACAGTCAGGTTTCAAGCCCAATTATAGTGAACAGCTGTCAGTAATTCAAAATCTGGTTCCCAGAATATGCTTTAACAGCCATATTTTGCTTCTGCTTTATATTCATATAAACTGAGTTTTCATTATTAAGCACTTCCACTTTTGCAATGGAAGTGTAAATAGGCAAATGCAAATAGGTAGCGTCATCTCTTTAAACTTCTACAGTATGTACATACTTCTTTGTCAGGCTTTTTAACTATAACTTAACTTATATAACAGAGACAGTTATATAAGAAACAGGAAGACCACTGCTTTCGATGTTAGTTCTACCATCCAAGAAATCTCTGAGATTTTGTCTATCAGACACAATTTTGGGAATTTCCAGAGCACTTTTTGCATCAGTAATCGTAATTGTATGCCCTGTTTTTAAACCAATCTTCCATTTATATTTATATAAATGGAAGATTGGTTTAAAAACACATATACACACACACATACACATACACACATACTTTGCTGCAGTCCTACCTTATTAAAGCAGCCGTAAAGTGAGATTTGGACATTAAGTGTGAAAGCTACTGGGTCAGGCTGGACAGCCTCTTAGAACCCCTTTACTTCTATATTAAAAGTCACATAGACAAGAGTTGGAACTTGCAATAGAATAACAGGGACAGTTAGAAGTTACTTAAAGGAAGTGTCCCCATTCACTAACCACAGGATGTTCTTGCCAACGTCCTTATGTCCTAACTTGTGTTAAGAGTCCAAACCACAAAGTTCAATTAAAGTTCATTAATAACATGTAAGCCATACCTGAAACAAAAGGAGAAGACCCTCATCTCCTTATAAGGCTTTCTCCTCAAGGTAACCACTAAGAAATGTGTTAAGTATTTCCGTGTTGCAATGCTTTTGAGAATGTATAAGAATGTGTGCTTCGATAATTAAGGTTGTTCAGAACTTGCAATGCTAGCCATGGGCTAGCTTTCTGAACCTGGCTGCCAAATAAACTTTTCTTGTATCCTGAGAAGTCTAACGCCTGTCATTTTCTGCAACATTATAATAAATTAAATATATGTTTCTTTGGTAAATATTTGCATCTCAAACATTTCTGATGTAAATATATCCTAATAGTACGGTCTCCAAATCACTCTGGCTCTCACACACATTTTATTTAATTTTATTGTTTCTAAGATCTTTTTCTGGGGGCAGGGTTCTGCTTGAACCAACACAAAACTATGTTCTTTCTAGAGTTCAACTGATGAATCAAGCCCTCTCTTCCCCAAATTATAATGCCAGAGATGGCAAAATCTGCCTTAGGTGCAGGTTCATCATGCTCCAGTTTCAAAAGGAACTTGTAAACTAATGAAACTGGTCACTAGATGTGTTGATCAGAGATAGGGAGGGGAACTTAAAGTACAAGAGGCACCTGCCTTTGTGGTAGAGGATTATTTATTAACCACATGGTACGTTCACATCACATTTTGCTAAAAAGCATGAAATATAAAAAGGTTTTAGGGAAGCCTGGATGAAATATAGGTAATCCTCGACTTACAACAGTTCACTTAGTGACCAAAGTTACAACGGCACTGAAAAAAAGTTACTTATGACCATTTATCACACTTATGGCAATCCCAGGGTCACTTGATTTTTAATTGGGTGTTTGACACTGATTCACATTTATGACGGTTGCAGTGTCCCAGGATCACGTTCTGCAACCCTCTGAAACGCAAAGTCAATGGTTCATTTAACGACCGTGTCACTACAACTTAACCGCAGTGATTCATTTAACAAACGTGGCAAGAAAAGTCGTAAAATGGGGCAAGCCTCGCTTAACAAATTTCTCACTTAAGAACATAAGTTTTGGCCTCAATGGTGGTCAGACGTTGAGGAGTACCTGTACAGTGCATGTACATTTTGGACTGGCGGCTTCAAAATGATCTTTTGCCGGTAAGAACACGTTAAGTGCGCGTCTGCCTAACTCCTTGGCCATCATCGTGGAGAAAGAGAGCCGACTCTGCATCCCAGGAAAGCCAAATGAAAAACCGTCACCCGCCTCTCCCCCTACCCCCGCCCCCCGCCTCGATCTCGCCAACCGCCCCGGTGATCGCCATCCAATCCGCAAAATGGAGAAGTCCTCCACTGCGCAGGAAATGTGAGGGAGGGGGAAGGGGGAGGATTTCTTTTCCTCCCTTCTAGCCTTTCTCTGTGGTTCTTCCGCAGATCTTAAAACGTCACCTCCGGTTTTTGTTCCCGCCCCCTCCTAAGGGCCCTGGAGCCAATCGCGGGGTCCTCTGGTCCGAATTCTCCGCCCCCTTTTCCCTAACCAGTACTGAGTTGCCGTCCTGAGGCGAACAGGGCTCGCTCGCTCCCTCCTTCGGGTCGTATGCGTCTCTCGCTCGCTCTTTCTCCTTCTTCACCCCCGCCCCCCCTTGCTGTCCACCGCCAGACGCCGACGTAGCAGAAAGAAAAAGAGATGGCGGCGGCGGCAGCGGCGGCCGAGGCAAAGGAAGCCGCGGCGGGAAGAGCGCGAGGCACCCGCAAGGTTAAGGCGACGTCGCGAGGGCGCCGTCTCGAGCTGTAACCGTCCTTTCCCCTTAGGACGCCCCCCCTCCTACTCCTCCTCCCCCCCGTCCCGTTGCTTGAACCCGCCAGGAAGGCAGCTGCGACTCCCTTCCTCTTCCGAGCGCCTCTCCGCCTGGCGAGGGGGCGACGCCGGCCTCCCGAGTGGAGCTTCCATCCCTTCGCTATTATGCTGGTACCTCTCGGAAGCGCCGAGAGCGTCCCGGCCGCCCGAGACAGATGCTGAAAACCCTCCAGCCTTCGGCCGCCGTTTCTGCCTGCTAGGACGGCGCCTGGCCAGGACGCCCGGTTGGCTCTCCGGCTATGTATTTCCTCAGCGGCTGGCCCAAGAGGTTGCTTTGCCCCATAGAGGCTCAGGAGCCCCCGCTCGGCATTCAGGCCGACCCGCAAAGGACTTTGTTCGCCGTGTTGTCATCGTCCCAGCTCAGCATCTGGTACAACAGGGTAAGTAAAGTTGTCACCCTATAATCACCACCCTGCCTGGGTTTTTTTTTTTTTTTTTTTTTGGTTTTTTTTTCTGGCTACCGTCTCCTCCCGAAGCTCTCTCCTGTTTTTTTCTCCCACCCAGCCAGATTGCTCCATACCTGACTTTGGCCTCTTCCACCTCTTATTTTTGAATAGTGAGAAAGAATTTTGTGTGTGTGCGTGTAGATACATATATACCAGTATTTATGTATATACACGTATGAATGTAAATGTATATACATATATATCGGTATATGTGTGTGTGTAGATATAGGTATCTATGTCTATGTCGTATATATGTATATATGTATGTATATTTCATCTATCTATCTATCCATCCATCCATCCGTCCGTCCATCACTCCCTCATTGGAATGTGATGCTGAATTGGGAAATACTTTGAAAACATGGCTCAAACAAAACTTGTGGCTTTGTTTTGTGGTATGGCTAAGGCGGAACATGTGTGTTAATATTATCCTTTTAAATGTAGGTCTTTTGCCTCTTCTCTTACATCTTCAGATTGACAGCATAGTTTAAATGTATTTTTAGTTACTTAATAGGCTCTAGATGTGTCAGAAAGTTGAGTGTGCAGAGGGATGCTTACTTAAAAAGAAAGGACTTGTTTTGCAGATAAAACAGATTGGTTCTGTTGTAACGTCCTTGGAATTTTTCAAAATTTTCTTTTAAACTTTACTGGTATTTCTTAATCTCAATTCCAAACCTGCCTTCAGGTATATCCAGATAGTCCTCGATTTAAATTTGCTAAGGAGACATTTGCTCAGTTAGCTGTGCCCCATTTTATAACTTTTCTTGCACCGT